GCTATTGCCGCAAATATCAGTTGTGGATTTTTAATAGCATTTAGAACTTTAAAAAGAATGAATGACACTGGAACTGTTAATTTGAGGCTTCGTTCTAGTCAACCATCCTTAATTAAAGATTCGCAGTGAAGCCAGTTGAAGCGATTTGTCGCAGCAAATTCGAGCTGTGATGAAGCAAATAAAAGCCCAACCAAGTACTAATTATTTAGTACCAAATGTGTAGCATATCGTACATTAATAAATAAATTAATAAATTTTTTTAAAATTTTAAGTTTTACATTGAGCCAAAAAGCGTTCAGAGACTTTTGACGGGGGTCTGTATAATTAATATTTTTTAAGATTTTTGCGATTATCAAAATGAAACGAGAGGAGGTAGGAGGTAGACCTATACTATGGAAAGATTATATAATCTCTTTAGGACTTAATTCTAGGATAAGATAGTTAATAATTAAAAATGTTTAAATAATTTTTTAAATTTATATTAAATATATTTACTTTTTTAGAATCGAGACACACTTGTAGGAAAAATCGTAATTTGCCTACTACAAGACAAATACAAAATACAAGACAAAGGCCTACAAGGCAATAAAAATTTTAGTTTTTTTTTTTATCATTTGTTTAATTTCATGTTTTTTTCGTATTATTCATTTTTCTTTTCATATTATACGTTTAATTTTATTTTTTCTTTTTCATTTTTTCGTTTTATTTCATTTTCCTGTTTTGTTTCATTTTTCTAATTTCATTTTTTCGTTTTGTTTCATTTTTCTAATTTTATTTTATAATTTCTTTTCGTTTGTTTAATTTCGTTTTTTTGTCTTGTCTCATTCATTTAATTTCATTTTATAATTTTATTTCAGTTTCTTAATTTCATTTTTTATCTTGTTTAGTTTTCTTTTTATTTCGTTTTCATTTTTTATTTTATTTTATTTTATTTTTTATTTTATTTTTATTTTATTTTAAAAAAAATTTTAAGTAAATTAATAAAACTATCGTTCAATAATTAACAGATTGCATATTAAAATAAAATGACTAGAATTTACAAAATAATATAAACATATTTCTGAAAAAATTATATCATAGTAAAATTATATTTGTGTAATAAAATCAATAATCATCTACTATAATGAATAATTCATTAACGCTATAATGAATTATTTATTATACATACTGTATAATTCATTATAGTGTTAATAAAGATTCTTATAATAAAGTCTTGATCAGCTGGATTGACAACTTCATTATATCGAGGTATGACTTTATTTAGAATTTACATTAAATTTTTGAAAAATATAGATATTATATAATAATTTTAGCTTTATCAATTTTATCAAAAGTATTGTTTCTAATTTCTTATATTTTATTTATATTTTACATTATTGACAAATTTTTAATTATAATTTTTTTTTTTATTATTTATTATTATATTTTCTCTTAAAATTAATTCTTTTAGATTAATCATTATTCTATTATAAAATACTTTGAATAAAATAATAATATTTCTGATTTAAAATATAAATATATTTTAATATTATAGGTTTTTACTTCTCTAACCTTTATTTTTTTTTAATTTCTCTATATTTTTTTTAATATAATACTTATTAGATAATTTTTGAATTAAAAAGAAAATATTTTATTTATTAATTTTTTTTGATTTTATTTTATTATAAATAATAAAAATATATATTTATTATATAATATATTTATTATATAATAATTAAATAAAACATTTATTTAAAGATTTTTTTTAAGTATTAAAAAAATATTAACTTATCCCTTAAAGTGTAGGTATAAATTAACTATAAAACATTATAGAAAAATTATAACATTTTAATATCTAGTGATTATAAAATGAAAAAAAATTTATTAGATTTGTTATATTAAGATCTATCTAATGATAATATTTTTAAATTTTTAAAATTAATAATTATTAATATATATTAATTTTTCAATTTTCAATTTTTTAAAATAACTTATTATTTAATAATTATAAGAAATAAAATTTAGTTTTTTGAATTTATCTTATTAAAACCTATTAAATGATTATATTTTTATATTTTTGAGATCAATAGATAGCAAGGTATATAAATTTAAAATTTTAACTTTTTTTTATAACAATTTATCATATATTTATCTTTAAAATATTATTAAATAATTACTTTTTTTTTTGAATTTTTACTTAGAAAACATTATAAAATTTATTATAAATATTAATTTTTAAATAAATTATTTAAATTATTATAATTAATTTTAATTATTAAATAAAATTGCAAGTAAATTTGTCTGCAAAATGCTTAAAGAAATATATTTTTTTTTATTTTAAAAAATACAAAAATATATAAAATTATTAATTATTTCACATTATTATTTAATTATTATATATAATAACTGATATAAATAAAATCACATAACAATTAATCTTAATCTTTAATTAGTTATATTATATATATAGACAAATAGATATTATATAATATATAATCTAACTAAAATTATTTTCTGCTTATATTTTAAATAATAATAGTAATTTATATTTTTAATATAATATTTTTATTAGTATTTAATATATTTAATAAAGTATTATACAATAGGTTTAAAAGTTTATATAAGTTTAATTAAAATATTATAATATAATAGAAGGATATTAATTCAAAAGATCAGCTAATATAATATGTTATATATAATTAAAAATTATATTGACTATATTATGTTAAATGATGAAAATAGTAAAGATAATAAAAATAAATTAAGTTTAGAAAATAAAAAAAATATTTTTTTTAATAGTTTCTTTCTTTTCTAATATAAAGTATTTATATATATTATTTCTTAAACTGTAAAGTAAGCAAATTTGCCTATAAACATAAAAAAAGTATTAATTTTTAATAAAAAAATAAAATATTAATATTAATAATATAATTATTATAAATGAAAGTTACATAAAAAAACTTAGAAAATATCAGAAAATTTTTTATATTATTAATCATTTTATATTTATATTCAATTATTATTTCAATTATTTATATATTATAAATTTAGTATAAATAGAATAGTTTTTAAAACTTGATTAGAGATAGATAATTTTATAGATAATTTTTTAACAATTCTTTGATAATATTAGAGATCTTAAATAATTTAAAATATTTAATTAGTTTTTATCATAAATAAGATAAATACTAGTAACTTTTATATGCTAACAAATACAATTATACTAAATTTTTTATTTATTAATAAAATCCTAATTGCTTATTTTAAATATATGCTATTGTTTAAAATAATATTTATTTATAAACCTTTTAGAGCATTTCTTAAAAATATTAATTAAAACTAAATCTTTTATTAATCTTTCATTAATATTAAATTTTCAGTTATAAGTATATAAGATAATAACAATAATTATAATTAAGTGATTAATAATATTATTGATAGTTTTTAAGTAGAGATATAAAGAGAAAATTGTATTTATCTATTAATTTTAAGATAAAGATAATTATATTTTATTTAAAAATTTTAAATTTAATTTAATTTTAAATATTTTAAAAAATAAAAATATAAAAATATAATCTAATTTTAATATAATGAACTTATAATATAATAAATTTTTATTTTATTTATTTTATTAAATTTTTTTTAAAAAATCAATTTTATAATATTTAAAAAATTTTTGATAAATTAAATTTCATATAAAATTTAATATAATATATATCAAACTTATATTAATTTACTATTATTATAAAAATATAATAAAAATTTTTTGATATATTGAACTAATTATGTGATTAGTAGATTATATTAATAATATATAAGATAATTATATACTATTTTTTTTAAACTTATTATCATTATAAATTAAAAAGAAAAAATATAAATAATAAAATAATGTTAAAAAAAAAGTTTTAATTTTTGAAGAAAGAATTATATTGTTTTATAAAAAAAATTTATTATATATAAGAAAATATGGAAAAAAATTTAATATAAAAAAATTATTTTTATAATAATAAACTTAATATCATATTTATATAAGAAAATTCATATAATTTTTAATATATTAAACTATTTAATATTTACTTATAAAGTTCAGTATATAAAGAAAATTTGATTTATTAAATATCTTTATATACTAAATTTTTATTTTTGAATTAAAGTTTGATATATTAATATCTAACTGTATTTTTAATAAATTTTTTAATAATATATATTAAAAATAAAAATAAAAATTATATTAAATTATTATTAAAAATTTATAAAACCAAAAGTTTAAATATAAGATTACTAAAGAAATTTAAAGATTTAATAGGTTATCTAAATAGTAAAGGATAAATTTAGCAAAATTATATTAAAATTTTATTATAATATCTGTAAAATTCAAAAAAAAGATAAACCATATTAAAGTTTATAAAAATTGTAAAATTATATAATATCTTAATAAAAAATTAGTAAATTAAAGATATAAATGTTTTATTAAAGTTTAAATAAGTTTAGATAAACAATCTTTTACTAAATTCAAAATAAGCAATCTTAGTTAGAATACTTTCTAAGTTAATTATTTTTTATGATTTTATTATTTTCATAAATATAATAATATTTAAATATTTAAGAGTTTTATTATTATATATAATTTTAAATAATTTTTAATAATAAATAAAAAAGTATAAATTATAACATTTATGTAAAAAAGTTTATTAAAAAAAAAAATTAAAAATGATTTATATTAATATAAAAAATTATTAAGTATAATAAAAATATTAATTAATATGTTTTAACAAGTAAAGTTCTAAGCAAATTTGAAAGGAAAATTATTGAAAAAACAAAATATTATAAACATTTGAATTAATGTTATCTATTAAATTCTACATTCAGGTTTTGAAAAAAAGTTTCAAAAAGTTTTTTATTTTATCTGAAAACACTTTGTTTTACAAATCAAACATCTAAATATCATAAACAAAAAATAAAAATATAATACAACTTTAAATTGTTACAACAAATCCAATATTATTTATCAAAAATATTTAAACAAAATTTAAATTATCTTTAATTAACTCATCCAGCTTGGGTATCATCATTTTCATATCTTTATGCATTAATAAACCATCAATAAATCCTTTTGCAGGTCCATTGATCAATTTAATTTCATTGTCTTTTGCATGATAAATCTTTCCATTTCCATTTCCATTTTGAAATATCTTTTCCTCTTTAGGTTTTTGTTCAAATATCGATAAAACGTATTTAACAAAATCATCGATCACAGTCGTTTCCCTAACCTTATCTTCATTATTTCCAATTTTATCATCAACCATTTTTTCTTCTATACTAGTATCAATAATATCATCCATCATAATAATATCATTAGTACCATCACCGATGCTATTACTAATATCAATCATCATATTAGTAATATTACCAACCCCAAAATTATCTTGATTTTCTTTTTTTGTCATCATTAAAATAAATAAGGTCATTATACCTAAAGCGTAACTTTGTGTATACATATCAATTTTTTTCTCTAAAATTATTGGTAAAAAATCCATGAAAAATATTTTAATAAGCGTTGTTGAATGTAAATATTCATTCCATGTATAACATATTGGCAACGTAAATAATGATGCTCCTAATTCAGCTGCAAGTATTTAGGAAATAAGATTTAATAAAAATCCAAAAATTACAAAAATCAAACGAGCAGAGTACATGCCTGCACGTATTCCCATTCCTTTTTTGCCGGCAGATAAAACTTCCTGTAAAAAAAAAAAAAAAGAAATTTTTTTTATAAAGTATTTAACTATAAAATAATTTTAATTGAATTCATTTTAATTTAGCATACCTCGACAATAAGATCAACAAAAATCCTAGAACCATTAATTTCTAAACATTTTCTAAATAATTCAATATCTAAATGATGTGACCCTAGCCAAGATGGATTTATTTTAAATTCATCAATGAAATTATTGTTAACTAGTCCTCCTTCTCCACCAGTATGATAATCGTATTCGGCTGAGAATATTGTGTTATTTATATCATAATTTTCAGCTAAAAATATTTCGTAAATTGAAGAAATCTTTTGTCTTCCTCCATACACTATAGATTTGAACATTATTTTAAATCTATAGTATAATTTTTCGGCCGGATACTTTGTAGTAATCCATGCTGTTTGACACATTAAATATTAAAACGGGTAATATTAATTAATAGAAAATATAATTATTAATAAAAATTGTATTTAAATTTTTTCACCTGGATTCGACATTGAAGAATCTATTTTTGAACGTACAGTTTTAGTTTCGGTATCTTCTACGTTTGGTAAATTATCATTTTCTGATATAATATCAAGTATTGATGATAATTTATTTCCGACTAATTTTATAATTGAATTTGGAAATGTGTCTTCTATCACTAATTTATTTAACACATTTGCTGAGATAGATGATTTCCTAAGGGAAAATATTTATTAATTAAATTTTTTTTTTAAAAAAAAAAGTTAAGTACTTATAATTACCCTTTAAATAGAATATCATCACATAACCATTGACATATACCAACTAATGCATATGACATATGTGGTTTAAGAAAATATGTAAAACCTGATAATAATGTTTCGAAATTTGCTACTGCTGCTACTTCTAACTCATCTGTTCCTCCTATATTTGATAATGCTTGTTTAAATATTGTTGGTGATAATTCTATTAAATCTATTGGACTTGTTACTCTAATTAAATAGAGAAAAAAATTTTTTTTTTTTTGAAATACAGTGGGGTAGAGTAAGTTAAATAAAAATTTTGGATAAAAGAAATTATATTACCTGATTAGGTCCTCGGAAATTTCTTGACCAGTTGATAATCTTCTTGTCCAATGTTGTACTATCATAGCCTTTTTTGGATCAAGAGAATTTATGTCATACGCACTTCCTGATTGAATAAGCCATTTATAACAAAATCCTTCTTCATCACGAAGAACATCTTTAAGATTTTTATGAAACTACAAAATAAAAGAAACGGATTAGATAATAATTAATAAATAAACGACGCACATATGACTTTGTTTACCTCATATCTATCTATTGTATTGATCAAGAATAGGAAGACTACTCCAAAATTTTCATAATCCCGAAGTAAGGACTGTAAGGACTCTGTAAAATAATAATAATAAAAAAAATAATCATATTGATAATACTTGTATCTGTCCAACTAAGGATATCACAAACCTGTCTCACTTGTTATCCACGTATTACATAATTGCTCTAAAGGTAAAATAAATTCTGAGGGACGTTGATATAAATGAATAATGTCAAGTAATGTAGGAAATTTCATAATTGAACGACAAAGTATAGCTAATGGTGTTATTTCTAATTTTGCTCCCCATTCACTCATTAACTAGAATTTTTAAAATTTTTGATTAATTGGAAATAAAGAATATTTCTAGTAAGAAATTTACAAATCTTTTTAAATATACTGAACCTTTAATATTGTTTCAATTCGAGATTCTTGATGTAAAAAGCCTGTTATAGCTGCTGATACTAAATGATCAATAATTTCTTTACTTGGATCTTCCAATATGCTTCCCGTAAATCCAACTGCATTTACTCCGTCTATTTCACCATATTCAAGTTCTGACAAGTGATGATTTAATATAATTAATAATTGTCTTTCTATAAATTCTCTTCTTACTAATTTTCTACTTAGACATGCTTTTAATATATCTACCGATATATCAGCCCTAAATAAAAATAATATATATTTTTTTTAAAAAAAAATCCCTTTTGTTAAATAAGGTAAATTAAAAGGTTGAATGATTGATTTTTTTCTTACCCTTCTACGGGCAGATTACATGCATTAATCAATCCTTTATACCCAAATAATTGATTTAATACACATTCGTGACAATTATACTACAAAAATAACATTATTAGTCGCCTGAGTAAAATCAAAAAAAAAAAAATCAAAACCTTTTGTATTACTCACCTTAGTTTCGTCGATCAATGGTACGATTTTTGGTTTTTTATTTTCTAATTTTTCAATTAATGAAGGTAGTTTAACTAATACAAAACTTTTCCATAATAATGTATGACCCACACCATCAACTCTACCGCATTCTTCTGCTAATCCCGTTAATGCAGATACCCATAATTCTACATAAAATTCATGATCATATGAATCCTTGAAGGGTGAAAATTTCGGAAATTAATTTTTTTAAAAAAAATCTTTTAAAAAAGAAATTTATTTTAAATAGATACCTTAATATGCTGTAATTTCTCTAAACATTCAACTGCCATATAATCGGTCATAACAGGTCTAGTTTGCACCTTTAAAATCACGTCAAAAAACTTTTAAAGAAAATAAAAATTGGTATTTAACTTATATTACAACATACCAAATTATATACAAAAAACATTATAGATATAGATGGTATAGCAGGTGAATTAATTATTCCATTTATTTGATTATATGTCATTTTATTTCTTTATTTTACAAAAGTAAAAATTTTTGTATTTAGCATATAGAATGCCGAAAAGCTTGTTTAAAATTTGTTTTTTTTTTTTTTTGTTTCGCTTCAGGCCGCAGTGGTAGGATGAATTTCCAGAACGTGATAGGTAGATTTTTTTTGATTTTTTTTTTCGGGGAGGGTATGATCTGACGCTACAGCCGCAGCAATTCTTTTGAAAGCGCGTTATGTATTATTTTCGTTTCATTTGTTTTTTATTTTTCATTATGATCGAATATATTTCCTCACTTTTGATTTGATTATCGTTTTTTTCCTTAGGTTTTTGATTAATTTTTAAATTCATTTTTGTCCAAATCTAATAATATAATAGCACGCAAACCATTTATTCATTGTGACACACAAAATGCAGCAAATCAGATTTATCAGATTCTGGGAATTTTTATCAAAAAAATAAATTTTTTTTCGCTATTTTTTTTTTGATTTTATTCGAGATCAAAAGTATGGTACTTATTTTCCTTTGTTTCTTTATTTATTAGTTCTTTTTTTTTTGTATAAAAAAAAAAAAAAAATAGAAAATGAATTTATACTTTTTTGAAAGGTGAATTACGTGCTCTTTGAAACTGCTTTTGGATATGCGTTGTTTGAACGGTTGCAAAGTGAGGAAATAGGAGCCAAACTTGAACAAATTCAAGAGTCCGTTGAAGATTTGGTAAAATTTGGGAAAATTGTTAAACTTAAAGCCTTTGCACCCTTCAAAAATGCTGTTCACGCTTTAGAAAATGCAAATGATATATCCGAAGGTGAATTTTTTTATAACAGGTAGAATTTATTTTTCTACAATATTGTAAATTAACCTTTTGTTAAGAATTTTAGGTGTTGTGAACGATCACCTCAAGGCATTTTTGGAAATGAATCTTCCAAAACCCGGGAAAAAGAAGAAAAGGAGTGTTAATATAGTTTTGGGTGTCGTAGATAAAAGTTTAGCTGGTTCTATCAAATCGGAATTAGGGTACGAGTGTGAAACTAGTGAACTTGTTCTTGAGCTTGTTCGTGGCATTCGACTACATTCAGATAAGTTGCTGAGCCAGGTGAAAGATAGCGAACTTGAGAAAGGCCAGCTTGGATTGGGTCATAGTTATTCTAGAGCCAAAGTCAAGTTCAATGTTAATCGAGCTGACAATATGATCATTCAAGCTATATCCTTGTTAGATCAGTTGGATAAAGATGTGAATACCTTTTCTATGCGCGTCAGGTGATAATATTTTTGAATTTTAAAAATTTCGAAATCAACGTATATTAAAACTTATCATGCTTATAGGGAATGGTATTCGTGGCATTTTCCAGAACTCATTAAAATTGTAAGCGATAATTATCAATATGCCAAACTTGCAAAATTTATCAAAAACAAGAGCGAACTAACCGAAGAAAGTATGGATGGTCTTATGGAGATAATTGGGGATGAATCAAAAGCGAAACAAATCCTTGACGCGGCTAAAGCTTCAATGGGCACGGATATATCTGTATTAGATATGATTAATATAAATTGTTTTGCGGATCGAGTAATTGATTTGGCTAATTATAGAAAACAAATGTATGAATATTTATTGTCCAAAATGCAAAAGATAGCGCCAAACTTATCGGCATTGATTGGTGAAGTTGTTGCTGCCAGACTAATTGCTCATGCCGGAAGCTTAACGAATCTTTCGAAATATCCTGCTTCAACTGTGCAGATACTTGGTGCAGAAAAGGCTTTATTTAGGTATAAATTACATTTTATGTGAGTAATTAATCTGTTGCATTTCAAATTAACATTATCGATAATATATCAGAGCTCTAAAGACCAAAGGAAATACACCAAAATATGGTCTGTTATACCATTCATCTTTTATCGGTCGGGCAGGAGCCAAGAATAAAGGCAGAATTTCTCGATTCTTAGCAAATAAATGCACCATTGCTTCCCGAATTGATTGTTTTATTGGTATTGTAATAACACGCATATTTTTTTTTTTTAAAAAAAAACACAAACATATTTCTAAATGTAATTTCGATTTATCTTAAAGATAAACCAACTTCCAAGTACGGTGAAGCATTGAAAAACCAGGTTGAAGAGAGGTTAGGATTTTACGAACATGGCACAGCGGTTTCAAAGAATATGGAAGTGATTAATAAGGTGATTAAAGAGCTTAAAGGTAAAGATGATCTAATGGATATCGATGATGAAAACGAAAGCGATAAAGATGAAGAAGAGGAAGAAGATGATGTGGAAGAAGTGGAAGAAGAACCAACGAGAAAACGTAAAGCTTCGCCAGGATTACCGATAACACCGTCCAAGAAACATAAAAGTTTGAAATCAAATGAAAAAGCATCAAAATCACCTACAAAGAAGAAAAAGAAGAATGATAGTCCAAAATCCGACAAAAAAGACAAAAAAGTTACATTTGTCCTTCAAGTACCTTCGGAACTAGAAAAAGTAGTGGATCAAGAGATACCGAAATCTGGTAAAAAGAAAGATGTGAAAGGTGAAGAGTCACCAAAATCTAAGAAAAAGGATAAGAAAAGTAAAGCATCTAAAAAGAAGTAGTATTCAATGGATCTTGAAGAATAAATAAATAATTAGCCAAGGATTATTATTAAATATTGTTCTACTAGAGTGATTGAACTTTATTTTTTCTCTTTGATTATATTTTAGATGAGAATGATTGTAAAATTTATTTTATAAAAATGTTTACGAGTTGTAATTGACGATGTGATGTGATAATTACCAAGTTGTCACATTGGGTGTTCCATCAATTATGTAATCAAAACATTGTTAAGTATCATATAAATTAGAAGATTTTGTGAAGCATACATGTCGAACCTAATTATTTGCTACTATTATTACGATTTTTCCTAATAAAAATCCTAAATCTTTAAAGTTTAATAACTTTTGTATATTTTAGCATTCAGACAAATTAAAACTGTAAATGAATACATTATAACCTAAAAAAAATGTGACACCTCGCTTTCTTGAAAAACAAAGAAAAAATTTTTTATTTTAGAGAGCTGTGTACAAATAAATGATTTATTTATTATTTCTTGAAGCGTAAATAATATATTTTTTTTTTTTTTGGAAAAAACGAGCTGTTATATGAAAGAGACAATAATTTAGAAAGTTTTTGTAAAATTTGGAGTGAAGATATTAAGAAGAATCTTAAGTTATTAAAGTCTAAAAATGTGAGAAGATTTTATAAAGCAAATTTAACCTATCAGAAACACATAAAAATAATGTTTTGATTTACATAGTTGATGGAACACCCCATTGTCACATGGACGTTCTGAAGTCACATAAAGAATATTGGACCAAAGGAATGCATGCATTCATAGTCAACAATAAACAAGAAAGCGTAACACCATTGTTTTTGAAGTTTATTTGTTTCATATGACCATTTTCCAAAAGGTTTGGTTAAAAAATACTTCTCGATTATCACAAAGATCTCCGATCCATTGATGAAAATAAAAGGTGACATAATTAATAATAATTAATAAATAACAAGTTTTATTGAATTGACTTGAAAGGATGTGATTCGTGCATTTGAAACATAATGTGTAATAAATATATTTCGAGTTATATAAACTTTTTTTCGATATTCATGCGTAAATAAATGCTAGTCGGCGGAGGAGCTTAAAAACTAGAGGTGCTGAAAACTAAGGTAATGTAAAGCAAACGCATCAGTAAGGAGCCATTTACGATTCAGTTTTCATTTAAACGTGACTCATTTTATTGGTTGATGTAAGTTATTTTACTCAAACGGGTTTCAATGAAAATTTTTTATGCCGTTCTATTTATTTATATAAACTTGCAATTTTTGGTTTTTGTTCTTTGTTTATTATATGGTTATTACCTAATTTTTTTTTTTTTTTTGAAATAAAGAAAAGTTTTAAATAGACAAAAATACCTTTCATACCTCCCATACAACGGGGTTTTTATTCCAAAAATATATATATATATACGTAGTTTTGCATTACATAACTCAATTAATTACGAACATTAAACCATTTATATAAAACACGCGTTTTT